AGGAAGTTGTTTTAGGGTGAGGAAATCAATGACCTCAAAAAATAAAAATAAAAAATTGGATTACCAATGGAATCGCCTCTCATTGGAGTGATGACAAATATTTTCTTAGAATTTTTGCTCTTTAACCAAATATTTCATCCAAACTATCAACAAACTTCTCTTAATTTTATCCTCGTGATACAGATTTACTAACCTAGTAGATAAAGTAAACAAAGTCGAACATACAATAGAATTTACATACGAAATGGAAGAATACAATTTCTTACCTTTCCGAGATATCAAGCTCCACCACGTTAACTACAGTTCAAAACTTGGTGTCCACCGGAAATCAACCAACAAAAATGATGTAATAAATTTCTATTCTCATCCTAATATCAAAATAAAATCCCATATAATCATCGGAATCTACTTAAGAGCACTCAGAATTTGCAGCCCTCAATATTTACATGAAGAGGAGAAATACATTGAAAACACTTTAAAAGCGTGTGCAGGGCCCTAATTATTTTATATTCAATGCGAAACAAAAGGCACATAAATATTCCAAAATATAAACCAGCCCCTGCTGAGAAACCCAATGTATCAAATATATATATATATATATATATATATATATATATATATATATATATATATGTGTGTGTGTATGTATGTGTGTGTGTGTGTGTGTGTGTGTGTATATATATTATCATCTATATATTATATATATGGTACTTATTAGAAAGCGCTCAATATCAGAGATAGAGCTAATATATTTGGTTGGATTGATGTGAGTTTGTGACACTGGGTTTCACGCTTTTGCGATCGTCAGACAAACAAACGTTGTCTGACGATCGCAAAAGCGTGTGAAACCTAGGGTAACAAACTCACATTAATCAACTAAATATATATATATATATATATATATATATATATATATATATATAAATCGTCTAACTTTTCACATCTACAATTGGAAAAGATCTATCTAAACTCAGTATAAAATCTGTCACTACTAGATCTAAAACAATAAAAGACTAAGTCAATACTAAACAATAGGCTAAAACTTGAGGGAGGAATTTAATCGATCGCCTGTAATAATTGTCACAAAAATACATAGGAGAAACCTCAAGGAATCTAAATGAATGACGACATGAACACAAAAGAGACATTTTGCAAAATAATACATCAAATGCGTTGGTTGCCGAGTGTAACGAGACTTATCACAATTTTGACATAAAAACTTCTACTCTGATCAAAGGAAAAAACAATTCACAACGGCGAAATTATCTAGAGAGTGACTTGATTGCAAAATCATTCACAGTAAATTTACACCTGGGATCTTAGGACATTTCATCATTCCTGGCAGAAATTCTATTATTACAGTGTGGGATATCTACTAACAAAAATGAAAGAAAGAAAAATAAAGTAAAAAAAAATCAGCTAGATAATAATTCCCAGCATCTCTCTTTTCGCACCAACATGACAAATTTAGTCCGATGATTAAGGACGAAACGTGGCTCAAGAAATCTTTACCCACTTTGTCATACGTAATTCTCTCTCTCTCTCTCTCTCTCTCTCTATATATATATATATATATATATATATATATATATATAATCGACTCTCCGTCGAGATTCGACGTATGAGGTCAAACAGATCATTTTCAGGAAACCGACAGCCCGACACCGGCACATGAGATTTGATTATAGTGGTGAATTTTTTAGAAAAAATTATGACATAAATATGCTATAAAATCACTACAAAAATAGCCATTTTGTTTCAACACCCTGGTGTCTTATCAAGTGATGAAGTTTGGCTATTTTTTGAGGTGATTTTATAACATATTTATGTTATAAATTTAAAAAATATATATAAATATATCTGCTCTACTTTGTATTGAGCACTCTTTTAAGAATAGTAATTGTTGGTTATTGGAATTCATTCTGTATATACCAATATATATATATATATATATATATATATATATATATATATAGGTACGTATGTGTGTATTTGAATATCTACATCTTTAACTATCGCTTTCAGATGTAAACTCGAGAAATTGTCGTAAACAGGTGATTCGATTGCCACTTATTTCAAGGAAAAAGAAAACTAATTGTTTTACGCCTTTGAATGAGAAATCTTGTCCAAATTAACGTAGAGCGTTCCGTGCAATTTTCATGTTAAAATACGAACTTGTTTCAATATACACAGTTAATAAATGTTTCTCACTGTTTAAATGAAATATTTTTCTTCTATTTTCAGGTAAGTTCATTTTCCTTTTTGAAAGCAGATATCAGGTAAAAAAGATATATTTTTATCCACACACACACACACACACACACACACACACACACACACACACACACACACACACATATATATATATATATATATATATATATATATATATATATCACTCTGTTCTTATCTATCTATCTATCTATCTCACTTTGTTCTTATGTAACATCACATTTCGAATGCTCTAATGAAATAAACCATACATATCTCATTTATTCTATCTATCTATCTATCTATCTATCTATCTATCTATCTATCTATCTATATATATATATATATTTATATATATATATATATATATATATATATATATATATATCCCTCTGTTCTTATCTATCTATCAATCTATCTATCTCACTTCTATCTATCTCAGTTCTATCTCTCTCTCTCTCTCTCTCTATATATATATATATATATATATATATATATATATATATATATATACGAAGTTTTTTATAACGAACAAAATATATAAAAAACAACGAGAAAAGAAATGTAAACTAAATAAAGACGACTAAAAGACAGACTTCTACCTAAACAGTAAGGAACAGTGTACTCAGGCGACCATATATATATATATATATATATATATATATATATATATATATATATATATATATATATGAATAAAAAGGGGAACCTACGTGAACTAAGCAAAATTACCTAAGGCACGCTGATACTGGAACAC